TCTTACTAATTAATACATCTAACATCACAATTATAAATAAAGAGTTGAAGTACATTTTTTTTTTTAGAAAAATCAAGTCATACTCTGTCTTAGCTGTTAAGAATTCAGCATAAATGTTGTTTTACAGGAAATTATTTCCATTTTTAAAAGCATTAAGTCGATATGCATTTCAGAATCTATAAATTGTAATGCAAGTCTTTATGCTGTTATATAATTGATCATGTGATCAAGTTTGAGCCAATCAGAGAGCTTGGAATATATAAGAAAAATAATATCACTGTTTATTATCTTCATATTTTACACTGAAACAGGGGCCATTAATTTCAAGTTTGGATTAAGCTAAGCGTAGATTATGACAAGAAATATTTTGTCATTGAATTGAGAATATTTACATTTCCAATTAATTTCCCCTATGATTCTTTACAAAAAAATGCTGTTCATTTTCTCATGAACTACATTAGGTATGTATCACGAATAAGCATGAATATCTCCACTGTTGCATCATAATACCGCTCTTGACGTCAAAAAATATAGTGCACACTGTTTTGTTTTGAAAATGACAGTTGAACGGCGTAAATTTATGTTAAGTCATCAGAAAAATAATGTAAATATAAGAAATGAATATAATTTTTTGAAGATTCATGAGGTATATGAACTACAACGCTTCACGCCGGCATATTTATCATGAAGCGCTAACGCGCTTCATGAAATATGCCGGCGTGAAGCGTCGTAGTTCATAACCTCATGAATCTTCAAAAATTAAATTCATTTCTTAAGCAATGCGCGCATTTGATTAAATTGTGGCTCTCTGCTCGTTTCTTCGATTGACGTGTAGTCGCCCGCGTGACGCAGTGGTTAGAACGTCTGTTCTAGAGTCGCAAAGTAAAGAGTTGATCCTTACGTTGCGGGTTCGAATCCCACTGTGGGACGTCAAGAACGGTCTTTCGGATGAGACCGTATAAACCGAGGTCCCGTGTCGCAGTAAGTGCTGGCATGAAAAAGATCCTTCCCTGCTCAATGGCGCTAAGTGCCGAGTATACATGTTGGACAAAATTTGTAACTTATGGAACGCCGTCACTGCCTTATAGCAGAACACAACCATTGCATTGTGTCAACCTTCCATTACATTATGTCAACTCTTTATGACATTAACCTACACTACTATTGCATTGTGTCAACCTTCCATTACATTATTTCAACTCTTTATGGCATTAACCCACACTACTATTGCATTGTGTTAACTTTCCTTTACATTATGTCAACTCTTAGTGACATTTACCCACACTACTATTGCATTGTGTTAACTTTCCTTTACATTATGTCAACTCTTTATGACATTTACACATACTACAATTATATTTTGTCAACTTGCATTTCGTTATGTTTACTTTTCATGACATCTTATTTTTTATTAACTGATGCGAAAAGCTCATGTCATACTGTGCGCACTCTTCTACATTATGTCGATTCACTATTACGTTATGCGAACGCGGGTATCCTCGGCCTTTATATGAGCATAACGTATTTTCCGCGTTCCGCAAGCACTAAAAATGGGGGAGAGAAAACTGTCGTAGAAGAAATTCTGAGCGATTTGGGAATGGCATCTTTAAATGAAAACTTTAAGCGACAAATGGTTGACAATCTTGAAACGTGCAAGGTCTTTACACTGCGACTATGAATTCAAGTCACTTCGAAATTCAATGGTGTTTATTTTAATCTGATAATTAAATAAATCAAATATTATGAGTCGTGTAGCAATTGTTTTTCTTTTTATTTTGAATTGGTTATTTTTTATAAAAGTCTTAAACTTTGCAGGACATTGCATTAGTTTCACATTAAGTTTAGCTGAATTAAGTTGAAAACTTTATTCTATAAAACTATAAAGCCTGAGAGCTTCTCCGCTTTTCGCCCTTGGTCTCCAGCCATATACCGCCCCCCTTCCTTGTTCAAGATTACCATATCCGCCACTGATATGTGCCCATGCATGCTTACCAAGGCATTTCAATTGATTTAGATGTGCGACTGGTAGATTTTTTGTAATAGAATTCTGGCCCTGGAATGGTTTAAAAAATACTGATTCCAGTGACGTAGCATCTTTTTTTGAAAGAGTAGGTCAGCCAGAAAAAAAAAATTATTTACCCGAAAAAACTTGGCAAGCCAAGAAAAAAATTGTCCAAGCCCGAAAATCCTATTTCAGGGAGAGTGATTCAACTTCGATCAGTCCTTTTTTTCCAGATATACTACATTACCCTAAGTGGACAATACTTAAGCAAAAAGTGGGGTGGGGGCTGTACAGTTTCAATGAACATTAGATTTTCTATAGTAAAGTTATAAAGTTATGTCGGGAAAAGAGGGGGGTTGATATTATGTGCCTGTAATTCGTCCTAATCAATCAGGACCCCCCCCCCCCCCTCTTCCTACCAGTCATTAAAACACGGTCGTCAACATTCATTATATATTAGATATACAGCATTGATATAATGTAAATGTATTTTAACATCAGGTAATGAACTTTGGGAATCAACATGATAAAGAGTTAACACAATATAAGGATATTTTTAAATCACATAAGAAAGAGTTGACATAACGTAATTATGTATCCACATCACGGAAAGGAGCTTTGACATAATGTGATAAAGTATTGACATAATATAAAGATATGTTCACATTATGTTATACACTAATTACACCACGTAATAAAGCACTGACATACAGGTAAGATGTGTTCACCTCACATCATGACGTAAAATAAAGATAAATCCATATCACGTTATAATGCTTTGATATAATAGAAATATACACTCTCAAAAAGGAATGGGCTTTTGACTTCATGTAATAATAAGTTTAATTATAAAACACAATTTACTTCACGTAATGCAATTTTTACCTCACATATTAAAGAAATGAAATGATGTAAAGAAACATTCATTTCACGTGATAAAGTTTTCACACAATGTAAACACATTATCACTTCACATAATGAAGTTTTTACTTCAAGTTATGAAGTGTTGACATAATGAAAGGATGTATTTACTTCATGTAATGCAGCATTGACATGATGTTAAGATATATTCTAATGCAATTGTTTTGTAAAACACTTTTTCATTGGCTAATGCACTGAGGTTTGAAGCAGTAAAACGAGCATTAACGAGCGTGAAAGCTTTTTCATTGTGACGTCATAATAGAGCGACGCAAAAACACAATGCTCCGTGACGTATTTCATAACAAAATTCATCAAAATAAGACGTAAACAACAAACAAAATGCATGGAGCATTAGAATGGGGATCTTCTAATTTTGACATGATGTTAAGATATATTTACATTATCTCATAAGAAATGGACATAACGTAAAGATATGTTCACATCACGTAATGATAAATTGACATAATAAATGCATAGTTGTATGCTATAAGGCAGTGATAGCGTTCCATATTTAACTCTTCACCGGCAGGTGGTGGCGTCTCCATGTGAGTTGAACATTTTCAAGAGGGACGTTTAACAGTATACAACCAATTAATATGCGCACATCAAATCAATTATTGCTCATACTATTTACATGTGTAACTCAACTGATATGCTCAATTTTAGAAATGATTGTTTAAATAATTTTAAAATATTAAAATAAGTATAGCAACTTCATATATTTAAGATTAAATTACTTTTTTCTATCCATACTTTCAATGTAAGTAAAGTGACTAAAAAAGGTATAGGTTGACATAGGAAAATTTCCAGGTATAATTTCAGTAAAAAAAAATTTAATACATAGTTTCTAGATTTTTTCCCAATTACAGAGAATTTACCTTTACTGTTGGTTCTAGAATCCCCCCAACATTCTGCTTTGGTGTATGCTAGAATCCCTAGAACCACAATACATGTAACCAGTAAGTTTGTCCCTCTCATCTCGCACAGTTATTGTCATCTAAATCTTTTTTCCTCCTGCTTTTTCTCTTCTACCTTTACATCCCTCACATCAATCAAATACAACTGTATAGTTTGAGTGATAATGAGCTAAGAGGCTATCATGTTTTTTTTAAATATTAAAAGCACGAAAACTCGGAGAGGGACACCTAATGATGAATTTCTCTATAGCATCGTTTATCACCTTCAGGCTCTCCAAATCCGATTTTTTTAACAGTCAAAAGCAAAATGATGTCATACTATTAAATCTCTCAATATCTGTAACTGAGTAAAAGGGAGATCCCTGAGATACTCCTAGTTGCCACAGAGAGAGAGAGAGAGAGAGAGAGAGAGAGAGAGAGAGAGAGAGGTGATATTGATAATATTTTGAATTGTTTCTATAGGGGATGGTAACTTTTGTTTAATTTTCCACTGAAATATAGAAATAAATGTTGAAAATGTTAAAGTTTGTTCATCTATTGTGGCCCAGTCTTCTACCCTGGAGAATATGAATTGATCAAATTAGAATCTACAATCTATCTGAGGATGCATTGCTGTTTTAATGATTAACTACATAGCTTTGCTGATCTTATGGGGATTGGGGAATATTTTTAAAGAATGTTTTTCCCTTGCATAACATGACCCAACACCTATCCCACCCCCTAGGTCATGATTTAAAAAAGAAAACTAATTTACCCTTCCTGCTTCTAAATTAATGTGACTATAACTATGGTTTTGCTATTCTTGAGGAAAAAAAAATTTTCTCTATGTTTTCATGTATAAACCTGATCCCCTGCTGTGGACCAACTCCGCCCCTGAGGATATGTTTTGCACGAACCTGAATCTACACTATCTGTGGATGCTTCTTGTTTAAAAAAGATTTATCATGGCTATTTTGTTATGGCCCTGAACCCTTACCCCAAGATTCATAATTTGAACAATCTTGAATATTTCTATACTACCTAAGGATGCTTCAATATACTAGTAAACATAAATATTTTTCAAGATCCTTCTAAAAGGAAATTTGACTGTCCATTGTAGCCCAACCCCATCTACTGGGTTATGATTCGAACAAACTTGAATACATTTAGGAGTGTATATTATTTTATTCATGCAATCATTCAAACAATATCTTTTGGATTCCAACAATAATGTTTATCTCTATTCAGTGAATTTAACAATTTCATATCTTCCTCTGGAATTTGAAAAGAAAAAATGTCTATATTTTCCTGAATATGCTTTGGGTTACACGACTTTGGAAGTACACCTGAAAAACAACAGTGAGGTCATATCAAACTTGATATCTGTACATTTATATTAGTTTTTGTGAACTATACTGGTTAGAGATGAATTAAAACAATTAATATATTACTGTAGAAATGGATTGCTGATGAAATCCTTTATAAAGGGTTTTAAATTGAGTAAACAAAATCTTAAGCTTGTTAATGGAGCTTAACTACCTACCAATTCCTTCTTGGACTGCCCACCTCAGTAATATCTGAGACACACTCTTCTGAAGTTTTCTACTCACTTCCAAGACAACTGGGTCTGTTAAAATCTATAATTTTTTCTTCATTTATTATTGTTGGTATTTAAAAATTACAAAAATATACTGTGTCAATCTCTTCAAAAATAAAAATTGACCAATAAGGAACTAGTGCCAAAATCTACAAGTAGCATTGGTTCTGCATTATAACAAATTCTTTATAAAGAATAAACATTGAGCCTTGTTAATCCAAACCCTTGATTCCTGCTTTCCTGGTTAAATTTCTTGTTTAATGCATACCTTCCTGGTTGTCCTATGTGGTTGTCCCTAATGATAGAACCAAATTGTACACCAACCTGGTTGTCCTGTGTGGTTGTTCCTAATGATAGAACCAAATTGTACACCAGCCTGGTTGTTCTGTGTGGTTGTTCCTAATGATAGAACCAAATTGTACACCAGCCTGGTTGTCCTGTGTGGTTGTTCCTAATGATAGAACCAAATTGTACACCAGCCTGGTTGTTCTGTGTGGTTGTTCCTAATGATAGAACCAAATTGTACACTAACCTGGTTGTCCTGTGTGGTTGTTCCTAATGACAGAACCAGATTGTTTACCTACCTGGTTGTCCTGTGTGGTTGTTCCTAATGACATAACCAGATTGTATACCAACTGGTTGCCCTGTGTGGTTGTTCCTAATGACATAACCAGATTGTATACCAACTGGTTGCCCTGTGTGGTTGTTCCTAATGACATAACCAGATTGTATACCAACTGGTTGTCCTGTGTGGTTGTTCCTAATGACATAACCAGATTGTATACCAACTGGTTGCCCTGTGTGGTTGTTCCTAATGACAGAACCAGATTGTACACCTACCTGGTTGTCCTGTGTGGTTGTTCCTAATGAGGAGTAAGCCTGGTAGAAGATACCGGTCTCCTTACAGAACTGGATCAAATCAGTCTGAACCAGATGTGGATGGTGCTCTGTCTGTTGAAATTAAAAAAAAACATTATGTATGCAGTGATTTGTTCTTCCCAACATTGGTTTGAACTTAGAAAAAGTGTGCACATTTAGTTTTCCAATTTATCATTCTTTCCTTTTTTTGAATTATAGGAACACAGCTCTCTATTTTTTAATAGTAACCATGGAAATTTATACAAGGAATGATACACTTGATTCTTGATTTGCTATATATCTGTGCCATCTTTAGGTGGAAGAGTATTTTTAAAGAATTTCATAGACTATATTGTACATTAACTTAGTTGCCAGGGCAACACTGTGCAGCAAAAAACATGATTTTAAAATCTGAACAAAACTTTAGCATCACTAATCAACTTTTAGATAGATGTACAGAATGATGTGTATTGATATTGTTTCAATTACATAAGTTATAAGAAGAAATACACCATGTATCTTTTTATAGAAGAAATTACAAGCTTTTGGATCACTTTAATTCTACTGACAAAACTCAGAGAATAAACAGATATACCCCCAGATTTATCAGTCAGAATAAATTGATCTAATATAAGAAAACGAAAAGAGAGAAATGATTGATTCAGTTTTCATACCTGAAGAACATCTGGGTAGACCCCTGTTTTGTCATAGAGTTCTTGTATGTGATGCTTGAGGAAATTGGAAATTCCAATGTTTTTCAATTTACCTACATAAACAAAATAAAACATTCTTCAATCATGAAATAAAAAAACTGAATGAGTCATAAATCTTAGGCAAAATATTTAATGATTATTGCTTTAAAAGGATATTTTCAATACCTGGTACTAACAATTATTTAATACCCAAGAAAAGTCAGCTCTTCTTATTTTCTATTTTACCAGCATTGTTTCTGCCCCCCCCCCCACTTTACATTGTCTTACCCTCCCTTTGTAACTTGATCAGATCCCTCCAGCTGCCCAGGCGTAGCTCATACTGACCAGGGTCATCTGGCTTCTTCCCCTGGGTTCCTGGCCAGTGAATGAGGTAAAGGTCAAGATACTGACAGCCAAGGTTAGACAGAGATTTCAGACAGGCAGAATAACAGTTCCCCTCTCCCTGGTCCTTGGGCCCTGGAAAATAAAAACATTAATTTGTATGTATTTGGTTTATTGATGTCAAGAAATTTTTTTTTGTTAAAGTATTAGAAAGATCAAGTACTCCATTACATATTTCCTGAATTTGTAAAGTTTGAAGAAAAAATAGGTATACACCATGATGTAGCTATGCATGATAAATAAAGATTAAGTGCTAACTTAGACTACTACTAGGATATTACATTTATTACCAAGTTTGCTGGTGATAAAAATGTCTGATCTCTTCAGCTGATTTACTGGTAACAGTTCATCAAGGCTCTGACCAATCTCTGTTTCATTTCTGTAAACTGCAGCTGTGTCTGAAAGATAATGATTACTGTATTTGTACATATATGCCCCTAAGTTTTTATTTTAAAACCTTATTAGTTTAAATTTCTATAAGTTAAATTGTATTAGATCTAAAAAGTTCTCGTAAGAAAGTTTTACTGTAGATTGGCAAATAATCACAATTTTTTTATTTCACTATGTTTGCGACTCATCATTTTTCCGCGAAATTAAACCCATTGTGTACTGTAAAACGAGAAAATTTGGCACATACGTATTTTAGCATAAACGCAATTGGGAATGCATTAGCGCAAATAAATTTTAGCGTTTGCACTTGTCATTAAAATATATAAATGTGATATTATGTTTTTAATCCACGCCCGTATTTGACTTCTTGGTTAGTCAAGCATAGAAACACAATAGCACTCCCGGCCCGTATATAAGTAAACAATCGTCAACTTTACCATGGTGTTGCAATCACATAGACATGGCACAATGTTTAATTTTATTTTAGATAAAAGAAAAAAAGAACATTCACGCATTTTATTCATATTAAAACAATGCATGCATCAAAGGAAAGTTACTTGGATAATCATAATCAGGTATTGTCTGAAAGCTCAATCGCCATGCTGATTGCATTGTTTACCTCGAGGCGATAGATGATTGACACACCAAGAAGCCAAACTTTGAAGGTGCTAATGATAAGTATCCGGTAACAACTAACAATAGTTTAATTAAATAAATTATGATTTGGCAGAACTTTCTCGAATTGATCTTACTATGTTAACACTGCTAGTGTGTATATAAGATCCAACGGCCCTCCGACATTCCAGTTTACATGTACTTATGTGAAAGCTTTGAACATACACAACAAAATAATATTTAGAATTCCTTTTAGCAATCAGGGGCTCTTGCGCCAAAGGCGCTAAAATTAGTAGTGCGCCAAATATTCTCATTTTACAGTATGTATCATTAACTATTAAACACATGTTAAAAACGCTTAAATGCTTACACCAAATTAAAATTAATTTCTTGCAGCGTGAAATTAAAACCATTGTGATTGGTAAATTTTTGGGAAATCATGACATTTTTACACCATGGATTTAAAATGACTTACAGTATTAAATGTAAAAAAAAAATCTATTTTCATGGCTTTCAATTTTTTTTTTTTTTAGAATTCTATCATTTCTTTGTCAGATTTAACAAATCTATCATGGTCATTGGAACAAACTCCTTGTAAACCGACCGACCTATTAATCTGTATCCTGCTTGTAATGCTACTTTCAGTGTCCTGTAAACATCTTCTTTTCCTCTGATTTTATATGTCCCTACTGGAACAATAAAATTTATTGATCATAAGGCTGAGTAGACAGTGTGACACATTTTCACTTACATTCAAGGAAAAATAAAAAATAAAAACTTATGAACTCATAACTTATGAATGAGCATGATGACAGTGTCAACTGTCAACCGTCAACCTTTCCTGGTCGACAGTAAATCCATGTGTGGAATGTAGAAATAATTAACTCCGCAACATTACTACAATATACAGTGATGTATGAATATGTTAATATTGTTTCAGTCAAAGTTCTACTTTATCCTTATATTGGAGTTGAACCGAACTGTGTAATATTCAAATAATTTAAAAGTTGATCTGTCCATACACTTACACCCAACGTGGTTTTTCTTTCAAAAAAAGCGCAGAGCTATCATTGAAGCGTTGTCACGCTTTTGTAATAAAATAAATTTAAACTGTTCTTATCAGACAACTTACATCCAACAAAGGGTATACAATTTCCGTTTTTCAAAGTAGCGTTCATCAGTTCAAAGAATTTGAAATTTTGATATTGTTTTGGTGAAAGTGAAAGTAAAAAAAAGTAAGACAATAAGGCGGACTATGTTATTTCGTAGAAAACATTTGAAATCATATTATACAAGGGAATGTATGGATCTTTGTTCTTTTTGTCATAACATGTACATTATTCTCTACGATACATGTGAGTAAACTTTATTTGAAGCACAAAATGGTTTGCATTTAAAGGTACATCTCCTCAACTTTACGTACGACCTAATTACGGTTTGGAATCGATTGTTGTGCGGAGGCTGCGCTGAACAGCCGGAATTATAAGAGATTTACGGACACTTGCCTGACTCGGTAATGTACCATATGTTTATATCTTTTACTTAAGTTTCTATTTCACATTAGTGCAAAATTAAGAAATAACATTGATTAGTAGATTCCCAAGCCTATGAAGTGTCAAAAGAATACAAAAACAGAGAAGAAATTTTATTTACAATTTATGCAAACATGGGTTTTTTAATTCTAATATAGGAGTAAGACTAGGGCATTGTGAAATAAACCAAGATATTCTTTCTGACTTTTAAATATTCCAATCCATATGGCATAACATTGGTTACACTTACAGTAGTCAGTATGTGTTCTTGTCCAGGAAGGAAATGAATGAAAAAGATACCCCAGTATGTTTATGAGGATTAATCACCAGCATTCAGGTGCTCGTGATGAGCATGATGACTAAAAGAATTTTTTCAGGTGTCAATATTTTGATCAGGTTGTATTTTTACATTTAGTAAATTTCAAAATAATTGCCCTTTCTTTTGGCATGTGAAGTAAATTCAATGCCATCTGAAAGTTCACACATGAACAATATATACTTCTTATTTGCTTGCAGAGAATATTTCTGTTTATATTCATTTTTTAAGTATAGTTGTTAGCCTATATATTATTAGTTTATAATCCAAACTGGCAAGTACAAAAATGTATTGATACCAGTCTGTAATTTAAAAAATCAGACTTTTCAGATCAATGCTGTATACACACTCTAACGCAGGGTGTATAGGGCACGGATCTAAGATGTCTGATTTTAATTAGATTGGTATTGATAATCCAATACTTTCAGTCAGACTTGTAGCTGTAAGACATCCAGGTCTTCGGTAAGATATTATTGTTTATTAAATCTAACCCTAGGCTTGTAGATTTAATGCTGTATTAAATGAACCATGCATGACTACCCAATTGGCACAAATATGGTTACAGGTGTAAATTTAAGATATGTGAAAGCTTGATTTGAATTAAATGAAAAAGTTTTATAATTTTAACTTGTTTACATGGAGGCTATGATCATGCATGCTCATGTTTTCTTTGTCCTCACTACAACTTATGTTGCTGTACATATATAAACAGAAAGAACCAGTCTCCTGTAGGTGTAGGAATAGAACAGAATTAAGTTCTTTCATCAACATAGACCCTGTATCACTAATATCTCAAAGCAGCCCTGAGCCCTCAGATTTAGAGTTTTCATACATGTGACAGAACTGAACAATCACAACTGGAGATTTGAAATTTTTCAGCTGGAGTTTGGGTCTCAAAGCTGGAGATTTTTTATTGACATATTTTCAAATCGCAAAAGACCATCCAACCCCCTAGAAAATGCCATCTCCCTCTATATTACTTCATAATTTTTGTTTCATAAAGTCTAGCTTTAGCTTTGAAATAATATGTTCGAATTTTTATTCAAATGATCAGAAGTGAAATAGAGTCAAAAATAAAATCAATTCATTGAAATTAATTAAGAGTTAACATCATCATTAAAACTCTGAATAAAATTTTATTTTTGATTTGGTATTGATACATCAACCAGTAAGTGAAGTAAAACATAGGTCATATATGTAACATTTTTTATGTCAGTTACTTGTTTTTAAATAGAATATGAAGAGATAAAATTAACTTCTCTAAAAATACAACAAAGTAGAGTGAGGTATATTTTTTAGCAGTAAGTGAAGTAAAACATAGGTCTTGTGTAACATATTTTATGTCAGTAATTTTTTTTTTTTAAATAGAATATGAAGAGATAAAATTAACTTCTCTAGAAATACAACAAAGTAGAGTCAGGTATATTTTTTAGCAACACCCTGTAGTTTGATCTATTTTTAAGGTACATCAATACTCTAATAAGAGAGATAACTCTTAATGACATAAATGTCTATTATTCCTTTATAAATTTGACAAGTTGAAAGGTCTTTTTTTGTCCAATTTTGCCCCGCAAGCTATGCTATTATTGTTTGTATTTTACTTATAAAATACATTTCTTTGGGAAAATCATTAAGGTTCAAGCAATATTTTTTTATGAGTGAGTGAGCAGAGGGTTTATGAACCTTAACTAAAGTGTTACCCTTAGTATAACTGTATCTTTTAATGACCACCGCAGCATTAGAAGATGGCAATTGGGTATTTTAGCAACCAATTACAATGTTCTGCAATCAGCATTTCAGCTACAAAACATCGATGGTCATTTATCAAGTTGATATATCACTAATTTTTACAACTGAATCATACGACCTCATGCTGATTACAAATGTACTAAGAAGCCTACTACTGTGAAAAATTATTGCACTGCCTTTGTTATCTCAATGTTTTGTCATTCTAAGCAATTATAAGAAACATGATAAAAATTAATGCAAACTATATTTTATTTGAAGAATTATTTTAAACACGGAAGATTTAAAAATTAATCGGGAGGGGCGGAAGGGGGGTTAAAAATTGGGAGATTTTGCCTCCCGTCGGAAGAATCACATGTATGAGTTTTCCATACAGTATTACAGTACATGAGGCAAAGTGACCAAAATATATACATGTATACTGTAGATGTACTTTTTTCCGAGGGGTCATAATTCCATGGAATCTCAATTTCTGTTTAATCCGCGAGTCAGTAGAAAATACGCGGATTTCCTTGGCTGTCACTATATGTCTTACATTTATATTAAGTACGCTTGGACAATTTGTGACTGCGTACATAGCGTAAATTAATACCACGTGGGAAAAAAGTACATGTACTTCTACAGTATATATAGGATATATGGCAGGACTTACTGAACCTGTTTTGATTCAGGGGCCTATACTCATTCAGCTGGAAGTTTTAAATTGAAAATTTTATGTCTATATACAATAGTATATCAGAGCCTTTTGTTTGTCAAATTAAGATGCTCTAATCATTCAAGTATATTAAATCTTGATTGTACCAAGGTCACAGGGATCCACAATTTACTTAAAACAATTGTTGTTATATGTTGCTAAAAATTATTTGTAGCCCCAAAAAAGTGCAGCATATCTTTAAATTAAACATGATAAATTGATCACCTTTCTATGGAATAGACCTTAGCTCTTATTTTAGAGACAAAAAAACTCACTAAGCACATGTTTACCCTGATGGACATGTAGAGTAAAGTGGGCCTCTTGTCTCAGTGTCTACATATGATATATATTTATGTTAAGTACCTTTCCTTATGTCATCAGATGGACACTACTGTGTGTAAATGTTATAAATGTTTACGATATCCAGGATTATGTATTAAACAGACAAGCATGTAAGTGTATATATAGTATCTACATGTAATGGTTACCGGTGTGTCAGTTGTTTTAAGCTTTGTTAGATTATGGACACTGTATGTAAAGAGGGAAACAGCAAGGCTAGTTAGATGTATATTGGATATATCATGTCCTCATGGATTCAATTTAAATACTTCTACTTTATCCATATTACTTTCAAAACTGTAGCAACTTTACACTCTCAAATAATAAGTTTACATAGAATGAATTCTTTGTACCTAGTTCATATCATCCAATTATCTCAAGCTGGATTTAAAATAACAATCTAGCATGCAAATATAAATTTTTAAATAGAATTTAGACTGAAAGTTATTAGTCCCCTACCAGTAAAACTGGAGGGGACTATATAAATTTCCTCTGAGTCTGTCCATCTGTCTAACTGTCTGCCCGTCTGTCTAGCTGTCTATCAGTCTGTCCCACTTGGGTTTTGGCACTTTTTTTCTAAAGGTTTGCTGATATTGAGCTGATCCACTAAGACACAAAAAGCAGGGGACCACAATTCTTTGAATCAGTTTGTTGAATCAGAGTTCAACAGTTCAACAGAGTGAATGTTGGTAAGCCCTTGTCAAAATTCCTTTAACCTCCAACAAAAATTTTTGGGAGTGCTTGCTCTGTTGAAATTGCAGGCCTCAGATACATAGTAGCAAAGCTACACTTTTAATATCTAAACATTTTTTAGAAAGAGTTTTCTGTCTTTGCATGCTTATGAAACTGTATGCACTTGTTAAACAGTCTCTCAATTTGCTTAACTCATTTCTTCCATTTCTCTTTAAGACCAGTATGATTGTCATTTCATATCCTGGAAGTTGAATTACAGGTCTGTATTACCAGGATCTGTAAAACATTAATCAGGGAAACAGAAACGACTCAGGTCAACAATGACGGAACAATGCATGTCAATATTATCTTCCCTATGAGGAATGCTGTGGGATTGTTTTATTTCGTGCTGGGATTTTATTTCTAAATCTTATCTTTACAGAATCGTCCCAGTATGGAGAATTCTGAGAGACAGAATCAGTCAGGGAGTCTGGCATTCTTCACGGTGCTGATCCTGGTCGTACAGGTGCTTGGATTGACGGCGGTTATTCTGGTCGCCGTGTGGATGGGGTCCTTCCGAGGGGGCTTTGCCTGGCAGTCGGACCCCAAACATGAATTTAACTATCACCCCGTGTTCATGGTGACCGGCATGATATTCCTGTATTCTGATGGTAAAGAAAACAGATTGCAGTACCAAATTAAAAGTTCCTAGATAGCTCATTCAAAATTTATATGGAGACAAAATGATAGATTAGTTTTACAAAAAAAATGAGTTGTGATAATAAGTTTAATGAATGCATTTCATTTTGGACATCACATGATTTAAAATAAATTTTAATTTTTTGTACTAAAGAAGATTGATAATAGTAAACTGGAGATGGTGTTTTTGATATACATATATACAGAATAACACAAATATAGAATATTATAAAGAATTGCTCTTATACAAAAGTATACTAATACAGAATTT